TATTAGTAAGGATTCTGAGAGACTTAAAAGTGTTACGATTTCACCTTAGAAATCCAACGGTTGCAAAGTCTTCAGCAGCAATCTCTGAAACCCCAGATAAATTGACTGCATTCCCGACTTGAAGCGTGATATCTGTGAGACTTTAATCACATTTGAACCTAAATTTGTCCAGATGTCGGTAAAACTATTATCAGTTACATCTTCTCCCTCTGATTCAAACTGTTATAGAGAATTTGAAGACATCAGAATTTGCACTTCCGATAGTTCTATGAAGTGTGAAATCTGGGAGACTTTAATCACGTCTTTTATCTGTGAATCTAGAAATTTTTGTATACAATTGCAGCAAAATCTCAGCTTAAAAATTGCGACATCAAAGTAGCTGGAAAAACGTTAAAGAGTTAAATCTTCTCCCTCTGATTTCAGCTGTTCTAGACACTTTAAATTCATCAGAATATCAACCTAAACCCGACTGGATTACTAGCTTAAATAAAACTAGAAATCTATAACTTTTTCCTTTAACATACGTTTTTAAAGAGCTGCTTTCCTGAATATTTTTCTCCCAGTGTATGACAAAAATTCTTTTTATTCCTACTAACTATTTATGTTTTTTTATTTTTTTTTTTTTTCAACTCAGGAATTCATTCGCGCTGGCTTGAAATATTCTGAAAAAAATGAAGGAATAAAAATAATAAGAAACCAAAACTTCATTGACTGACTAAATGACTATAGCTGGTACGAAAGGTAGGTTGTTAAGTTAGTTGTGCAGGCTGACTGACTGGCATGACTATAAAAGTCATGACTTTGTTCACCAAGAATAATAATAACTGAGGCAAAGTACCAGCTTGAAAAAGGCAAAGAAAAACAACATTCTTGCAACAGCAAACTAAAACCAAAAAAATTCATACAAGCCAGTCAACCAGCCAGCCAGCCAGCCAGCCAGCCAACGAAGCAAGCAGCCATGTAGTAGTCAACCAACCTACTAAGAAACCAGGCAGGCAACTAACTATACACAGCTTAGCCCCATCCAGAGACACAGACAGACAAATGGCAAGAAATTCAAAACCTTTGGCAAGAAAATAATGTCTATTTGTTGGTTTGTTTGTGTACTTTTTTTTTATAGTACGTTTTGCGATTACTGAGCTCAGGTCTCTGAGTAATACAACAACATAGTGTTTTTGGTCGTGCTGGTATGTATTACAAAAGCCTTCATCTCCATTCGTCTTATATGTATTATATCAGTTGTATTAGGTTGTTTTGTATTGTGGTGACTCATTCACTGAAAGGGATTCACTTCATAACAACTTTCGCACTACTACGATTGCGATGCACAAATAACAACAAATCGTGTTAAAATGAAGTAACAGATCTAAAACCTTTACACCGAACAACCGTCGTCCGTCCGTACGAACGTACTAAACAACCTGAAGAGGATGAAAACAATAATAACAACAAAACAAATTTGATTCCAAGTGAATACCAAAAATGGCAGCAGCAACTCAAAAAAGCGAAAAATACAATAATGACAACAAATACAAAAAACCTGTTTAAAAGATCGATCAATTTTAAAATTGCACATTTACTTCGTGATTTTTAAATTTGCCAGACTTGTGGGTTTAATTTTTCTAAAAAAGTTTTAGAAAATGTTTCTAATTTTGAGGCTTCTCTGTTAGTCTAGTCTATAGTGTCTAGTTTATAGACTAGTCTATAGTTTAGTTTATAATCTAGTCTATAGACTAGTCTATAGTCTAGTCTATTGTCTAGTCTATAGTCTAGTCTATAGTCTAGTCTATAGTCTAGTCTATAGTCTAGTCTATAGTCTAGTCTATAGTCTAGTCTATAGTCTAGTCTATAGTCTAGTCTATAGTCTAGTCTATAGTCTAGTCTATAGTCTAGTCTATAGTCTAGTCTATAGTCTAGTCTATAGTCTAGTCTATAGTCTAGTCTATAGTCTAGTCTATAGTCTAGTCTATAGTCTAGTCTATAGTCTAGTCTATAGTCTAGTCTATAGTCTAGTCTATAGTCTAGTCTATAGTCTAGTCTATAGTCTAGTCTATAGTCTAGTCTATAGTCTAGTCTATAGTCTAGTCTATAGTCTAGTCTATAGTCTAGTCTATAGTCTAGTCTATAGTCTAGTCTATAGTCTAGTCTATAGTCTAGTCTATAGTCTAGTCTATAGTCTAGTCTATAGTCTAGTCTATAGTCTAGTCTATAGTCTAGTCTATAGTCTAGTCTATAGTCTAGTCTATAGTCTAGTCTATAGTCTAGTCTATAGTCTAGTCTATAGTCTAGTCTATAGTCTAGTCTATAGTCTAGTCTATAGTCTAGTCTATAGTCTAGTCTATAGTCTAGTCTATAGTCTAGTCTATAGTCTAGTCTATAGTCTAGTCTATAGTCTAGTCTATAGTCTAGTCTATAGTCTAGTCTATAGTCTAGTCTATAGTCTATTCTATAGTCTAGTCTATAGTCTAGTCTATAGTCTAGTCTATAGTCTAGTCTATAGTCTAGTCTATAGTCTAGTCTATAGTCTAGTCTATAGTCTAGTCTATAGTCTAGTCTATAGTCTAGTCTCTAGTCTAGTCTAGTCTAGTCTATAGTCTAGTCTATAGTCTAGTCTATAGTCTAGTCTATAGTCTAGTCTATAGTCTAGTCTATAGTCTAGTCTATAGTCTAGTCTATAGTCTAGTCTATAGTCTAGTCTATAGTCTAGTCTATAGTCTAGTCTATAGTCTAGTCTATAGTCTAGTCTATAGTCTAGTCTATAGTCTAGTCTATAGTCTAGTCTATAGTCTAGTCTATAGTCTAGTCTATAGTCTAGTCTATAGTCTAGTATATAGTCTAGTCTATAGTCTTGTCTATAGTCTAGTCTATAGTCTTGTCTATAGTCTTGTCTATAGTCTAGTCTATAGTCTAGTCTATAGTCTAGTCTATAGTCTAGTCTATAGTCTAGTCTATAGTCTAGTCTATAGTCTAGTCTATAGTCTAGTCTATGTCTATCATAGTCTAGTCTATAGTTTCTGTCTATAGTCTCGTCTATAGCTGTCTATAGTCTAGTCTATCGTCTAGTAATTAGTCTAGTATTAGTATTGTCTTGTCAGTCTATAGTCTTGTCTATTAGGTCTGTCTATAGTATATCGATAGTATAGTATATAGTGTAGTCTTGTCTAGTATTATAGTCTAGTCTATTAGTCTCTAGTCTAGTCTATAGGTCCTAGTCTATAGTCTAGTCTTATAAGTCTAGTCTATAGTCTAGTCTATAGTCTAGTCTAGTCAGTCTCTAGTCTAGGTCATAGTCTTAGGTCTATAGTCTAGTCTATAGTCTAGTCTATAGTCTAGTCTATAGTTCAGTCTATAGTCTAGTCTATAGTCTAGTCTATAGTTCTAGTCTATAGTCTAGTCTATAGTCTAGTCTATAGTCTAGTCTATAGTCTAGTCTATAGTCTAGTCTATAGTCTAGTCTATAGTCTAGGTTATAGTCTAGTCTCTATAGTCTAGTCTATAGTCTAGTCTATAGTCTAGTCTATAGTCTAGTCTATAGTCTAGTCTATAGTCTAGTCTATAGTCTAGTCTATAGTCTAGTCTATAGTCTAGTCTATAGTCTAGTCTATAGTCTAGTCTATAGTCTAGTCTATAGTCTAGTCTATAGTCTAGTCTATAGTCTAGTCTATAGTCTAGTCTATAGTCTAGTCTATAGTCTAGTCTATAGTCTAGTCTATAGTCAAGTCTATAGTCTAGTCTATAGTCTAGTCTATAGTCTAGTCTATAGTCTAGTCTATAGTCTAGTCTATAGTCTAGTCTATAGTCTAGTCTATAGTCTAGTCTATAGTCTAGTCTATAGTCTAGTCTATAGTCTAGTCTATAGTCTAGTCTATAGTCTAGTCTATAGTCTAGTCTATAGTCTAGTCTATAGTCTAGTCTATAGTCTAGTCTATAGTCTAGTCTATAGTCTAGTCTATAGTCTAGTCTATAGTCTAGTCTATAGTCTAGTCTATAGTCTAGTCTATAGTCTAGTCTATAGTCTAGTCTATAGTCTAGTCTATAGTCTAGTCTATAGTCTAGTCTATAGTCTAGTCTATAGTCTAGTCTATAGTCCAGTCTATAGTCTAGTCTATAGTCTAGTCTATAGTCTAGTCTATAGTCTAGTCTATAGTCTATAGTCTAGTCTATAGTCTAGTCTATAGTCTAGTCTATAGTCTAGTCTATAGTCTAGTCTATAGTCTATTCTATAGTCTATTCTATAGTTTATTGTAAAAATAAAATTTTGGAATATGGTTTCTATTCATTTGGGAATTGAGAAAAACGTAATCTGGTAATAATTACAAGTGCAATATTATTGTTATTGTTTAACATTTAGACATTTACTTGTCTACAATAACAAATTATTGGCAATATAGTTGATATTTTTTTTTTTTTTTTGCTTAGATTGTTTTTCTAGTTTTTGCCGAATTCGATTTTTTTGGATGACGAAATTAGCATTGAGGAAAAAAATTATTTTTATTTTCTAAAAAGAAAAAGTTTCTTAATGGACTCTTAAATATAATAGTTTGTGATAATCTTAAAATATTTGCGATAAATAATGTACGTATTACTTAAGGAAGTTCTAAGAATAAAGAAAAAAAATTATATAATTCTAAATAAGGCAGAACTAGATAGTTATGGCAATAGCATCCTAATAATTTCTATAACTTTGACAACTCAACTTTCGAATTTCATCCAGGAATAGAAGATTCCCTAAAGATCTACAGCTTTCTATTCTGCCGACATTATATATAGAAACACCTCAAACTTTTGAATTGTGGCTGTTACAGTTAATTCTTGTTTGATTATTTTTCACAATGAAAATTCTAGTCAGAAGTTATCTCGAAAAACAATAATTATGTTGAAATTTTAGGAGCGGTAATTCTAATTAATTCTACTGATCCGTTTAGAATCTGAAGAAACTTTTATCAGCTACTCTTATTTACTAATATTTTTAAAAAATTATATAGAAAATGGATACTTACAATACTCCGGAACAGCGAGTACATACGAACGAACCAATTGTCATGTTGACATAGGTGGGTCCCTTTTGGCCGCAATCAAAACATTGGCGATTACCACCGCCAGTGGTGATTAGCTCACGCAAGGCTTCCAGATATTTATCATCTTGTTTTTTGCGTACCATGGCCATGTTTTGCGTGTTGTTGTTGCTAAAAGTGCTACTAAAGTTATTTAAAGCCGATGGTGGTGCAACTGGACTAAAACGTACTATATCCTCAATTGAGGACGAAGGCAATGGAGGTATTAGTGACGTAGTAGTTGATGGTGATTTTGTTGATGAACTCGTGACAAACTCGTTTGCGAGCTTAGAATCTGCTTCTATTTTGCTTTTAGCAGATTTAAATTTCGAATTGCGATTCGAGAGGGAGCCGTTTTGCTGGAGTTTGTGATTGAAATCGTCGTCACTAGCGGAAGCGGTAGCAAAAAATTCCGTATCGGGTGGAGGAGAGGGATCTCGGTTAGTTCGATATGTATCCGTTTTGTTAAATTTCGTATTTGTAGGATAAATAAAAACGAACTGAATTTTGCTGGTTGTGTTTTTGTTTTTTTCTAAAGTTACACTTTTCTTTTAGATTACTTTTCTTAAACGTTTGCTGTCAAATTCACTTCAAAAACTCTTAACTCAGAAAAATTAATCCAACCAATTGAAAAATTGGGTCTAACATCTATTTATTATTTATTTGGCGCCACTAAATGTAACAACTAAAAGGAGAAAAAACAATTGCAGCCAAGACAACAAACACAAGTAGAAAAAATAAGGTAAAGGCCACCACTTTTCTACAGTAGGATCTATTTAATTTTTCTTGCTTTTTTTTCGTTTTTTATTTTTCTAACACTTTACACTCAAACACACTCTGGCTGACACAATGGAAAATGAAAAACTCAAAAATAAATAATATATTTATGCAATTGCAATGGATTTTTTTATACTTTTCGTCGTATAAAATAATTTTGTTGGTTTTATGGATTTTCTTTTTGCTCACATTCGCTTTTTGCAAATATTTTTCATTACAATTATGTTGTTGTTAGCTTTAACAGCTTTTGTTTATAATTTATAGATTTTAATTGTTGCCCGTTAAATTTTCTTTGTTTAATTGCGTTTCATTTATTTTTGTTAATATTTTTTCTTTATTACAAAAAAAAACAATTTTCACTGACACACACAGTTGTTTCTTTCACAACAAAATTAACGCACAGCAACCTTAAAAATACGGAAAAAATTAAATAAAAACCAACCGCAATGGCGAGAGAATTTTGCTCAACTGAGAAATTTAATTATTTTTGCCAGCCAACAGTTCAAAGTTGCCGCATAGGGTAAATATGACGGCGTTAAATGTGTATAGCATACCTGTTGAATTAACATACCTGTCTTTGTGTATTTATTATGTTACGTCATTTCTTTCCACTCGTTATAACATGTCTGTTGTTTGAGTGTTTTAATAGAGAGGAGAGTATGGCAGTTAAATTCAAATTAGAATATACAGGCAAATCCCGGTATAACGAATTATATAATGTCGGGCCCTTTCGTTAAATCGAAAAATTCGTTATATCGGAATTATTTTTTCTAGTAAATTTATTTATTTAATGGTCAAAAATCCATTGAAATTAATGTACGAAATTATTACTTTAAATTTTATTTCAATAAACTAATAACAGCGCACATTTTATTCCATTTTGACGGATTGAAAAATTTGCAGATGTATCTTCGACCTTCTCGAAATAATTAATTTTGCTGTAAAATTGTACATATTAATACAATATTAAACACTATTTAAGCAAAAGTTATTAAATTCACATCCAACACAATTAGTCTTTTTAGATTATAATGTAAGGCATTTTTATCGATAGGTCAGATATGCAGTATTACTAAAATTTTGAATATTTCTTTCATTTTTACATTATATTCTAATTGCTCAATCAAGTTTTTGACATTAACAATATCAATATAAAGTCAAGAGCTGGATTTTTTAGGTATTTTTTATTGTTATTCGTTATATCGAGTATAACATTTCTTAAACGTTCGCTATATAAGGTGGTTAATGTTAAAAATTTTGTTGTTCGTTATATCGGATTTTCGTTAAAGTGAGATTCGTTATACCGGGATTTGCCTGTATGTATATTGTATGAATGTTACTGTTTTAAGTTAAATTCAAATTGGAATTGAGACTTGTCTATTTTTGTAGTGTTTTTTTTTTGTTAATTTGAATAGCAATATGACTGTATAAACATATCATTGAGATTTTCAGTTTAAATAGAGCAGACAGTTAAATTCAAATTGAAATTATATTATGATTATAACATAACGGTATTTAGGCTAATTTTAGTAATGATAGTAGAGCAGAAAACGTATTTTAGCAATAACGATAGTCATCGATGCAAAAATTAAAATATTTCCATGAAAAATATTGTACATATTTGATTTTTACAAAAATTTGAATCTTAGAATTTTGTCAATAATTATAAACTTTTCCCAAAAATCGATTTTGAAAACTTTTCAAATAAATTTTATTTTCTTTATAAAAACTCTATAATTCACAGTTTGTTAACAAATTCACAAACAATCGATTTTGTCGCCAAAATTATCAAAATTAAAAAAAAAAAAATATGTAATAAATAAAATTTTTTCTATAAATTTTAATTTTAAAAAAATATTTTCAATAAAAAAATTATTCTAATCTAATTAGATCGGTTACATAAAGATAAAGTGATTTTTGTTTTTTGATCTTAAAGTTCAGAATCGATTTTATTGCTTACAAGAAAACAATGTAACCAAGTTTACTTGAGCCAGTCAATATACATACATATTTTAATTATTTTCCATTGAGATTTTATCATAAAAAATTGAAATTTTTAAAATTCTTTAAGAATTAAATAAAAATTATATTTTTTATTAATAAAAGGCCATAAAACTAAACCATACCTTTTAAAAGTGACCGTTAGAATCAACCAACAAATATGGCAACAATTAAATATTTTCTTTTATCAATCTGGTATTCCTATTAACAATTACAGAGTTGTTCTCACTTATAAAAACAATTTGACACTTCTGACACTGCAGAAAAGCGAAAATATAAACAATAAAATTCCTATAGAATAATTCGCAGAAAAAAGGAAAAATGTGCATTTCTAATGAGAATAAATGTGGTTTTAGCAAACAATTTGCAACATCAATCAATGGACAACAAACGGAATTTGTTTTTCAACCATTTGCCAACAAATGGTTTCTATTAATCACTCAGTATGGAAAAGTGCCAAATCTATATAGTGTAAAATTTGATTTGCAGCGCAATGAAGGTGTACCCGCTGCCATACAGGGTCCCGTGGAACATCCACAATTTCATATGTCTGTACCCATAACAATAACATGTAACTTTGGTGCCGATAAAGATGAAATACGCAGTGGCATACAATATCTGGTTAATAAGTCAAAACTGAACAGATGTCCTACCGAGTTTGTCATAGGACTTGGTTTGAAAGAAATGGATGGCAAAAATCTTAAAGCTGTGGCACAAGTTTTGGATGAAATAATTGCGTGATAACTTAAAAAACACTTAAACTGTACTTTTTTTTTAGAAAAAATGTTACTTTTTTATTATTTTAAAATAAATTTGTACATTAAAACGTGTACAAAACACTTAAAACATGTCTATTATCTTCCTCCTCTGGAGAAATTTATAAAACATACACTTTTCTTCTTGTTGTTGATAGTGAAATAAAAAAGCAGCATTTAGTCCTGGTATTTTTAGTTTGGGTGGGTAAAATTCTGTCAATTTAGTCGAAGAGAGCGAAACCCATATCGTCATCGGATTCCTCAGGTTCTTCTTCCTTCTTCTTCTCTTCCTTCTTGGCTTCACCAGCGGCAGGGGCGGCATCACCACCGGCAGCAGCAGCGCCAGCGGGAGCACCAGCACCGACACCGGAGCCAATGTTGGTGATCAAGTCCTTAACGTTGATACCTTCCAAGGCCTTGGCGAACAAACCGGGCCAGTAGGGTTCAACCTCAACATTGGCGGCCTTCAAGATGGTGGAGATTTTTTCACCCTAAAAACAAAACATACGAAATTAATAAATGTTCACAACGTTTTCCAATTACAAAATAAACAAAACATTGCATTTTATTTAAAAGATTCTGGGGATTTTCAAAGATTCTTTTAAACACAAAATTGTGTTTTGATTTTTGCAAATACTTACAGTAACGGCAACATCATCATCAACCAAAATGAGGGAGGCGTAGACGCAAGCGAGTTCAGCTTTGGTAGACATGTTTTTTATTTATGTTTTATTTAATAATTGGTGCAAGTTGCCAAAAATTAAATGTAAATTTTATTAAAAAATTTGGCCTTAGCTCGGATTCGAGAACAAGCACACTTGACAGAGTCCTAAACCGGAAAGAAAGAAAAGAAGTAACACGAAAACCAAAGCGAAGTTAGCTGCAAAACAAAGTGTAATTGTCAAAAAATACAACTCTAGAGTTGATACTTTTTCATGCAACCATGAACGTATGAGAGTAAAAGAAAATGTTGAAAATGCATACAAGTGAGGTTAATGTAGTGTCTTTTTTTTTTGCTAACTTCTGTTATACAATTATGGTAAAATTTTAATTTGATTAAAAAATGTGATTTACAAAAAAAATCACAAAAATTATATTATTTAAAATATCTATTTTTACAAAAAATTAATTTTAGGACAAACATTTTTTACAAAGAAATTGGTTTTGGCAAATATGTTATTTTTTAAATTATATATTTTATAAATTCGTTTATTTATAAAAATGTTATTGTTTTAAATCATACTTTGTGGGTCAAGAAAAATTAACAAATATTACTATATTGGATTAATTTATAATCAATTTGTCTTGGATTCAGTTAATAATAAACTTTTAGAGATATATCTTTAGAAAAAATTAAAAATTTATTTATTTCCATTATTTTAGGAGCAAATCTCTGCAAATTTATTGTTAAATATAAAAATCGCTTTTAAAAATGAATACCGATAAATGCAACACTTCGCAATTACAGAAAAAAACACTGAAAATGTGGTAAACAAAGAATGTGAAAAACAGGGTTGTCAAGAAATTAATGTAAACAAAACTCGCGCTAAATATTCAGTTTTTCATTTGCAGTTTATTATTTTGCACAGAACGAGTTATTTCAATTAAACATAATGCCAAAAATTAAGAATGAACCCTTAAATGATACCGCTCAAAGTAACAGTGATGCTGAAGAAGAAAAATTTGATCCGGCTGTGGATAAAATCACGTCACTTAAGAAATTAGGTCCTTTTATAGCCTCCAAAGATAATTCCCGTAATACAGTTTATTTCTCCGATATACCACAGGTGTGTAAAGATGAACCCTGCATGTTGGGTGTGGACGAGGCAGGACGTGGTCCAGTATTGGGTCCTATGGTTTATGGTATAGCATTTTGTTCTATAGCCAGCAAACAGGCACTCATTGATTTGGGTTGCGCCGATTCCAAACAATTGACCGAAGAGAAAAGAGACATTATATTTGATGACATCAATACTAAGGAGTATGCTAATAGCTGTATCGGCTGGGCAGTGGAAATCATTTCGCCTAATGTTATTAGCACCAGCATGTTTCGCAGGTCGAAATGTTCTCTCAATGAAGTTTCCATGAATTCGGCTATTGGGCTAATACATGCCGCTGTGGACCAGGGTGTTAATATAGCCGAAGTATATGTGGATACGGTAGGACCACCGGAAAAATACCAAGCCAAACTTCAACTTATATTTCCACAATTCAAAATAACTGTAGCGAAAAAGGCTGATTCTACTTATCCTATTGTTTCAGCGGCTAGTATTTGCGCCAAAGTTAGTCGTGATCATGCTCTTAAAGTATGGAAATTCCCTGAAGGCATAGAAATAGAAGACAATAACTTTGGTAGTGGTTATCCCGGTGATCCGATAACAAAACGTTTTCTTTCCGAAAACATTGATTTGGTTTTCGGGTTTCCACGTTTAGTGCGTTTTAGTTGGTCTACGGCGGAAAATGCTTTAGCCGACAAGGCATATGATATGGAATTTGATGAGCCCGATTCAGAGAAACCTAAATATGCTGGCACAAAATTAACGAAATTCTTTAAAGGAACAACTAAGACGGGCGAAGTTAAAAGAGAGCCGTGTCGTTTGTTAAAAGAACGTTTTTTGGATAATTGTGTAGATTTTTAAGTTATATGTAAATGGATTTAGTAATAATTATGTTTGTATTAAGATTTCTTTAATAAATTCATGCTTTTTTAAGTTATTTTATTTTCATATTCAGTTGTAATTCAGTTGAAGTTCTATTTCAGTTCAAGTTTGATTGTAGTTCGAATCTCTCTCAAAATACCCCTACATTTGTCCATGGAAAAAACACAATTTCTCAATTTCTTTTAATGAAACTTATTGCATTCCAAATATTTTATTTTTTCTTACTGTAAATAAATTTTTGTTTTTCTTACTTCAACATCATGTTCCAAGTAAGATAAAATTATAGAAGAATGAAGAGAGAGATATAGGAAGGGGAGGGAGGGGGTGTGTAAAAGTGATGATAACTTTAAAATATATTTGTAATAACTTTTAATCAACTTAACCAACCTTGTTAAACATTTTAGCTTAAACAAAAGTCAATTTTTAAATAATAAACAAGTAATTTTAATTTTCTGATTTCAAAAAGCAACTCTGTTACTCTAAATCAGTTTCATATTGAAAAAAAAAAATGGACAACCACATTGGAATTTTAATAACACAAAAGGAGAAAATAAAGAAAACTAATGGGGATAACTTTAGAGTAAAGTAGAATTCTAATAATAAAAATTAAGAAATTTGTTTTGTATCTTACGTTTAAAAAGAAGATATAATCTTAAAGTTTTTAACTTAAATGCTACGAAATGTTCTGTTTTTGTTTGTTGCTAAAATTACAAAAAAATAATAAAATCAATATAGCTTGTATTTAAAGACTCCGTTTAAAAGAATCCGTCTCTGGGTAGAGCAATACAAGCCGATGATGATAATGTTGTTGTTGCCGATCAGAATTTTCTGAGATCCAGTACAAAAACGCTGCCATCAGAAGCACTGGCGCCAACTTTTGTGCCTTTCGAATTCCAACAAACTTCAAATATACCACCGGTACCCTTGTAACTGTGTACCAATTGTCCTGACTGAGTACTCCAAATGTGTACGCATTTATCGAAGCTGCCCGAAGCCAAATACTTGCCATCGGGTGAAAATGCCACCGAATAGACGGGTTCTGTGTGTTTCGTTAAAGTGTGTATACACATGCCTCTTTCCACATCCCACAAACGAACGGTCGAATCAAACGAAGCCGAGGCCAAAAGTAAATTTGTATTTGGATTCTGTGTACCCGGACCAGTGGGTGACCATTTAATTGTGTAAATTTCCTTAGAATGTGCCTGCAAATCGTGGCAACATTTGTCTCGACTCATGCACCAAATCTTTAATGTCATATCATCCGAACAGGAGGCTAACAGTTTACCCTGTGGGCACCACTTGATGGCATTGACCTCGTTCGTGTGTCCCTTAAAGGTTTTGATGGGTACTTCAGAGCCCAAACGACACACATGAATACGTTGATCAGTACTGCATGAGGCAAATGCATTGTTTGTCTGCCAATCGACATCCAGGGCTGGGGCGTTGTGGAATGAAAATTGCTGAGTACATTGTCCGGTAGAAGCATCCCAAATTATGGTAGTTTTGTCAACACCAGCCGAAAGTATATAGTTGCCACGTTTGTTCCATTTCAAGGCAAATATGGGACCCTTATGTTGGCCCAAAGTGGAAGCTAATGTACCATTGGTTTTCCAAATGCGAGCAAAACCATCATAACTGCCGGTAGCTAAAAGTGTGCCATCGCACTATAAAGTGTATAATTCAGAATTTTGTTTTAAAGTATTTATATAAAGTTGATAAACTTACATTCCAATCCAATGAAGTAACGTCTTTGTTACTGGGCACTTCTGCACCTCCCTTTTGTATGCAGTGACGCAAGACCAATTGATTGGGTGAACTCATGGCATCCGACATATCCCAAATACGAGCAGTGCTATCGCCCGAACCACTAGCTAGTAAATCTCGTGATGGATTCCAAGCACAAATGAATACCTCACTTTCATGACCTCTTAATACGGTTGCTTTAGAGGCTGGTATTTCAATATCAGAATCAATTTCCATTGCTTCTACGTTACCGGCAGCAGCCGCACTGGTAGCGCCTGTAGGTGTCGCACTGCTAGTAACGGTTTGGGCAGAGGTGGGAGCAGTAGCTGCATTGCCACCGGCTGCTGAACTGGCCCCACCAGCCGCCCCAGTTTGTGCAGCTGTAGTGGGAGTAGCTGTGCCTGAGGAACTCGTAGCTCCTCCTGCGGCACCAGCTGAGGCGGCATCAGTAGATGTGGTATTACTAGAACTGCCATTTGTGGAAGATGAAGAGGTGGCATCATCAGCATTGGTCGTTGCATTGCCTCCAGCAGTCGATTCTATTTTTTTATCGTCTGATGCACTGCCAGCTGTAGCATTAGTAGTGTTTCCTGTGGTGACATTCGTTCCGGCTGGCGAGCTTCCGGTGCCCGTAGAAGAACCAGCAGCATTACTGTCCGCTTCCGTACTTTCTGTCGCCGTATTGGAAGTTCCCGTAGAGCCGGAGGCATTCGCTGAAGTACCACTACCTGCTGCATTACCTTCTGCTTTTACCTCCGATTTAACATTTGAGCCAGAATTACCACCTGATGTTGTACCACCACTGCCAGCATTTGCATTATCTCCGTTGCCTGCTTTTCCGGGTTCTGTCTTAACAACTGGCTGTTTAACTTCTGGCATTACCGCATCTATTAGACTCAGACTTTCGATAGCTCTTACTGACATGCCATCTTCACCCAGTGACAACTCAACCTCTGTATATAATAAACCCTTTTGCAGGATTGTCAATAAGGCTGCCGGTGGAACAAGTGCTCCGTTTATATTACTTTGTGATATATGGGATTCAATGCCAAATACAAAAGCCGAGTGTGTGAAACCTAAAATTGAGTTTTTTATAGAAATATAACACACACACATGTTTGAGACTCCTTTTTCTTGGCCAAAAGAACTTACCAGATTCTTGCAAATATCGGTAAACTAAAAAGTTTACTTCGTCACTAGAAAAACTCATTTTAGCCACTTTAACTAGTTAAAATTTATCCAAGTTATGTAGATATTTCAGAAATTTTAAGTTTTTTTAAAAAAATTTCTTAAAAAATTTATTCTGCCGTAGATAATCTCCCTGCTTTTCTGCTATTTTCAAAGACTCCCTCTCACTCACTCTCTTATCAAAGAGTGTTTGTTCTCACCGCTGCTAATACCGCTTTTTACAATAGATTTTTTGTTTTGGATTTTCTATGCGATAAGTTATATATTCTTATTAATTAGGTATTTAACTGATTTAGCATAATTTAAAGTATTATTTAAATTTTGCAATATTTTAAGGCATTTATAATGCCTGCTTTTGAAATTAAAAAATAAAAAATATTTTGTTTTCTTCGCTTTTTAGCACAATACACAAGTAACGCAATATGGCGTTTAATAATTTGTACACAGTTGTAAATTTTAGTAGCAAATACATTGAGAGAAATTAACAATGCAATTAGAGGATTTTGAAAATAATCGGGCAATATTAATGATTTTAAAAATCCTTATAAGTTTTTTTGTTATATAATGTTTATAAAGATTTGCAGTTAATATATAGTTTGCATAAATAATTAATTTTATCTAATAGCCGGTTTCTCTTTTTACCACATAGTTGTAAAATGTGGTATTAAATAAAAGTACCAAAAATTACACTCTTGCGTCTAGTTTGAATACAAAATTTACTTTGACTTGTCACTAGAGATACAAGTCGACTCGGCTTAAATCGGCAGCGGCTGGTCGCCGGCCACATTTTGGCAAGCCGCGCTAACTTAAAAACTTATGTTTTTCTTAAAAAAGTTGAACTGAGTTTTACAGACAAATTGAAACGAGTTGCTACATCAATTGTGTTTATGTATTAGAGACAGTTTTTCGTATAAATAACTATAATTATAACCATCTTCTCTAGATAATACTTATAGAGTGAAACTTTTCATTCTAACAAACCTATATAGAAACATAATTTTCTGAAAAATTAGTAGATTTAGCCGACGCCGGTATATGTTATAACAAGCCCCCGCTGTCGATCACTTTGCAACGGCTTATACTTCTGCTTGTCACTCTGTGTTTGTATGTGTTGTACGAGTGGGGAACAGAGACCCGCGCCGATTCGGCTTTAAGCCGACTAAGTCTAGCCGCCGAACAAAATGTCAAAACCGCCGACGCCGAAAATTTTTCAGCTTATTACGGCTTAAAAATTTTGCCATATTTTGTATAATTTACAGAACACTTTCGGTAAATTTATGGAATTTTAGAAAATAAAATTAATTTGTTTTCATATAAGCAAGTTTTCTTTAATCTAATAATAAGCCGCTCATTGAAATTTGGCCGTTGTAAAACTTTGCTCGCCTCAGATATTTTTATGTTTACGCGCCTAATTAGAGTCCCTGCTTTTACTTCAAACCAGCTTCGTTGACGTCTACTAAGCTGCACCATCAGTGGTGATAGAGGGTATATATAGCTTTGTCATTCCGTATGTAACACCAAGAAATATTCATCTGACACCCAACAAAGTATATATATTCTGGGTCCTTATCAAATTCTGAGTCGATTTAGCTATATCCGTCTGTCTGTGTAAAACACGCTCACGATAAAACCAACCAATAGAATTTAACCAAATTCTTCATTTTCCTATGTTGTTTGGTATTGCAAATGAGCAAAATCGGTTCACACCGGGAAAGGTTATGAATCAAAATTTAAAACAACCTCGAAAAAAATAAGCATTTTTTACACATTCTGATGTAATTTTCTCGAAAACTGTGCCAGATAATACCATGAAAATTACCATACATTCGTTTCTGAACAAGATCTTGATCCCAGCTGAAAATTGCCAGAATCGGTCACAATTTCATATACCTCCCATACAAAAGTACATATTCCCGGAAAATGGGTTTTTTCTTAATAGCTTCCGCCAGAATGTCGATATCTTCACAAAATTTTACAAATTAAAATCTTATATCAATAGAATTCATTCATTTTTGGATCGGTCCATAATTGGACATAGCTCCCATACAAGGTCCCGTCCCGAAAATCACTTAAACGCACATAACTCATTACTAAATTAAAATATCCATGTAAAATTTGGTATAAGAATTGGTACAAG